ATAATGCATATTTGGGAAATGGAGAAGAGCAGAAAAGGGGGAAACCCGTGTTCAGAGAGGACCTCCGTTAGCCTTCAGCGGGTTTTCTTTCAGTCTTCTCTCTGTACATTTTGTTATTTTTTCATGTTTTTATATTTTTATTGATTTCAGATAGGAAGGGAGAGGGAAGCAGAGAGAGAAACATGAATGGTGAGCGAGAATCATTGATCGGCTGCCTCCTGCACGCCCCCTACTGGGCACTGGGTCCGCACCCCCCCACACCCCCACCCCAACCCCCGCAGGACCCAGAGGCCAACCAGAGGCCTCTCTGTGGGGCCAGGCGACCCCTTGTCTAAATAATGTCGCATTCACAGGACCAGGAGTTGGGACTTGGGCCTATCTTGGGGGGGAGGGGGGGTATCTACTCTTGAACCAAACAAATATAACAAAATTACAGGTATATTATTTTTTGACCCAAAAATCCCACTGTTAGGAATGTGGCCTAAAGACACACCTCCAACTCCTTTTAAGAGTAATCTGCTGGGTGTCCTTGAACAAGCTAACGGCCCTCTCTGAGCATCCGTTTCTCTACCCTCCAGGGAGCGCTTCTCATTTCCCTCCTGAGGAACCTTCGCAACCAATCCATGTGTCTCTCTAATATCAATATTTCTCTTTGGCTCTCCCCCTCCTTTCCGACATGGAGCCGACTGGCTGCGGCCCGCCCACTTTTTCCTGAGCTGACCGTGCCAGTAACGGGCCTTGGCTGCTTTTCAAATTTGCTCTATTAGCCCCGCCCTCGCCGTGAGAGGTGTGAGGTGTGAGGTGCGAGGTGGCCCTCGCCTCCCCGAGGAGTCCCAGGGAGGACGGAGCTGTCTCCCCGTTCACCCCGGTCACCAGAGGCCTTCCTGCCAGCGCTTTCCTGGTCTCTCGACAGGTGCGTGTGATGCGCCGCAATCGGGAGCAACTGGACATCAGGGGGCCTGGGCCCGCAGTCCCCTCGGTAACAGTCCAAATCCGGGGCCTGTGCTGGCCCAGAGGTTCATTCTGGCACTAAAATTACACCACAAATGCCACCCAGTAGCCCTTCCGACCAGGTACCCAGCGGTGCGGGCAGGACTCGTTAAGCCTCCGCGTGGGGGTGGGGATTCCGGCTGCAGCGCTGGATGGATAACGTGTGCGACACAGATGGCCCCACCGGCCGCGGCTGACAGCATCCCCACGCCTTCCAGGGGAGTGATGCCAGAGCATTTACACATTCAAAGAAACATTATTTCCTTATACTTCACTTTTATTTCCCCTCCATGTTATAGAGCAGTATTTCGCTTTTTTAAAAGATCTGTGGATACGCTGTAGTAACTATCAATTTCACTTCAGGGTAGTCAAGGGCACATGAAGTATTTCTATTGTACAAAGGAGGGTCGATGGGGCTTTTTGTCTTAAAAGGCCTCCCCCAGCCTTGACGTTGGACACTTGAGGACTCTGGGACCTGGAGTCTGGCCAAGCAGTGAGATGACCTTGAGTTGGCCTTGCTTGCTCAGAGCAGGGTACCTGCCTGTCTCTCCGCTGAACCCAGAGTTCCTTGGAGGTTGGGGGAGCAGGTCTTCATCATCTCTGCCCCGCCCCCCACACGTGCCAGCGGGTTGGGGACTCAGGAGGCCCCCCTTCACAGGAGGCGTGGGCGCCTGCGACAACGCCACCCCCTGGGGTTGCGAAACAGAAGCTCCCCTTGGAGGGATTTCCACACTCGGGGTGGGAGGGGCAGCGCGGGGATGTGGGAAGCCTCTCTCCCTGTCTCTGCTTTTCCAGAAACTCCAGCATCTCCCACAGGCCGTTAATCAGTAATGGCCCCTCGGGGGCGCACTTTGGAACAGCAAATATTTGCTGCAGGCTCTCAGCTGCACGCCCCAACCTCTGCCTTCGCCCTGAAGAAGGACCTTCCCAGGCACCCGGGGGCACCCAGACTGGTAAGAGGCCGCAGATTAAAGGGAGACCTTCGCAGTCCAACCAGCGAGGCGTGGGCTCTAAGGTGAGGGGGGAGTCTGGGCAGCGCGGAGCCCTCACTCGTGGGCCGGAGAGGCAGCGGTGGGGTGAGAGGCTGCTGTGGACACAGGGGCTTCCTCTGAGGAAGGAGGAGAGGGCATGAGGCTTTAAGTCCAAAGAGTTTGTGTCCGCAGCACTCACTGTTCAAACCACACTCAGCATCCTGCTCTCTTCCCCGTCAGCAAACCCCCCACCTCAGGGCTGGGTGAGGTGCTGCTCACCTGATGCGGGGCTGGGAAGTGGTGAGTGAGCTGAGTTTCTTCCCACTCAGGTTCTCTAGGGTGATGCGTCGGTGTGCTTGAGGGGTGCCCTGCGCACAGATTCTGTCCGGTTCAGTAGGTGAGCATGACCTTAGGGCAGGGGTCCTCAAACTTTTTAAACAGGGGCCAGTTCACTGTCCCTCAGACCGCTGGAGGGCCAGACTATAGTTTACAAAAAAACTATGAACAAATTCCTATGCACACTGCACATACCTTATTTTGAAGTAAAAAACAAAACGGGAACAAGTACAATATTTGCATTTGCATGTAGCCCGCGGGCCGTAGTTTGAGGACCCCTGGGGTAGCTTATCAAGTATGCAATACCGCCATGTGTAAAACCAGTATACATCCTTAATTTAAAAATACTTTGTTGCTAAAATATGCTAACGACCGGCTGAGCCTTCAGCCAGTCGAGCCCTTTTGGCTGTGGAGGGGGCTGGCCCTAATGCTGAAAGCGCAGCAACATGAGGCAGGCCTGCATACCGAAGCGTGGCCAGGGGCCATTTGGACGCTGCAGGAGGTACTTACCCAGCATTTTCGACTGGGAGCTCCTGAACTCGGCCTTGATGTTTAGAATTGCAGAGTTCCCTAAACCCTGACATTTAGGAAACACGGCAGATGTGTTCCACTGGGTGAGGTAGTGACTTCCGGCACATTCTGCTGGGCCATTTAACGTAAGCAAGAGCAGTGCACTGGGTCCTGGGCCAGTGTCGCCTTGTGCCAGGCACAGACGAGGACACAGCGCCTACGTGAGGGAGAGGCGGCTGGGAAACTCCATAGTGTCACACGGGGCCTGTTCAGAGTGAGGGTCTCCACTGCTGGGACTCCTGTGAGGCCTGCAGCCTCCCCTGCCCGATGCCCACTGGGCTGACTGGCTGCCCTCCCAGCCCCTCCTGGGGCATCTCAGTGACCTGCCCAGCCAGCCTCTGGGTCACAGACCTGGAGACCAGGAGCTGAGTGTGGAGACTGTCGGGCCCACAGCCCAGCCCTGGGGTGTTCACGCAGACGGGAAAAGTGGGGGTGCTCAGGGGCCAGGCTCTGCGCCCGGAGGCCAGGGAGCCTGGAGAGGTGTTCGGGCTGGGCCGGCTCATGGTGAGGAGCATGGGGTTTGGAGACCCACTGCCAGGGCCAGAGGACTGACTCCACGTGGGGCTGAGGGCGAGGACGCACTTTACAGTAACTTTACAGTCTCTGTGAGGGTTGGAGGAGGTCGGCCCAGGCCTCACTCAGGACAAGGGGGCTCATGTCTGTCGGGGGCCTCCAGGTACAGTGGCGGAAGGGAGAGCTGGCAGGAGCTGGGAACTGGGCACCAGGGCTGTCAGAGGGGCGGGGGGCAGAATTCTCACTACCGAGTCAGGCAGACCCAGCACTTGCCCTTTCCTGGCCCTGATGGCTACTCTGACCCTCTGCATCCCCAGCCAAGCAGGCCCCAGACCCAGGGCCCCGAGACCCAACTTGATGGGCTGCTGTTGGCCCAGCGATCGGGGCAATGAGTAAAGCCAACCAATAAAGATCTGTGCACCTCCTGACCCGCCCTGTTCTGACCCCGCCCAGGCAGGCGTGGTCCAGACCACATCCTCTCTCATCCACTGCTTCGTGAGACGTGGGATGAGTGGGAGAGAGGGGAGGCCAGGAGCTGCCGCGGGCTAGGGCCCAGGGGGGGTGGTTCTGTAACAGAATCCCCTCCTCGGGTGGACCTCAGCCACCCCTCTTCCTCCGGTCTCCCTGAGGGGACTCGGCCGCATGAGCCAGAGGTAAGCCCCTGCCCCACCCCCCAGAGGGAGGAAGTGGGTCACTGGAGGATGGACCACAACACAGGGACAAGGGACGGCATCAGGCATGATCACCAACCTGCTCTCTTCTCCCAGGAAACCCTGCTGCTGAAGAGCAGCGCTCCCTCGGCCTCCACGCTGACCGCATGGCGGCGGTACTGCGCCTCCTGCTCCCCTGCCTCCTGGCCCGGGTGTGGCTGGTGCCCGGCACGGCCCAGGCGAGGCCACAGACCCCTGCTGTCCAGAATGAGACTTCCCAGGAAGTGCAGGCCCCAGAGGAGGAGGAGGAGGAGCCCTGGCTGATGGCCAGCGGGCACCAGCTCTCTGAACAGACCTCCAACTTGGGGTTCAGCCTGCTGCGCAAGATCTCCATGAGGCATGAAGGCAACGTGGTCTTCTCCCCGCTCGGCCTGTCCTTGGCCATGGCGGCCCTGATGCTGGGGGCCACGGGGCCGACCAGAGCCCAGCTGGAGGGCGTGCTCGGCCTGCAGGCCCCGAGCCAGACGGGGCCCGGGCACCTGCCCGCCCTGTTTCGGCGGCTCAGACAGCACCTCTCCCGCAACCAGGAGCTGGGCCTCACCCAGGGGAGTCTGGCCTTCGTCCAGGAAGACTTTGACGTCAAAGGGACCTTCCTCAATTTGTCCAAGAGGTATTTCGATACCGAGTGTGTGACTGTGAATTTCCACAACGCCTCGCAGGCCAGAAAGCTCATGAATCATTACATTGACCGGGAGACGCAGGGGAAAGTCCCCACGCTCTTCGATGAGGTCAGTCCCGACACCAAGGTCATCCTCGTGGACTACGTCTTGCTCACAGGTATTCTGAGAATGTTCTGCTCCCCGAAAGCCGGTCCCTGCGCAGCCCCGCCCCTCCCGCTCGCCCCGCGTAGGGTTAACGCCAGTGACTTTCTGTGAGGCCGGGTCTCACAGGCAAACCGAAACAGGCAGGCGCTGGCCGTGCGATGTCCCGGCACAGGCCGGGCGTGCTCCCCCAGGGCCCTGCCGGTGGCCCACGTGCTGCGGCCCCTCGTTCCCAGCCCCTCTACGCAGTTCTCCACGCCTCCAAGGTTCTGATGCTGACCCTTCCGGGCGACTATCTGTGAGATGTGGGTTACATCTTTGCTCCTTCACTGGCTCCTTTTGTGAACTGGGGCAAGTGACAATGTCTCCTGTCCTCAGACTCTTAATATAGAAAATGGGGACCCTCCCACCTACTGTGCAGATGAGAGTGAGGCCCAGCGAGGTGAGCCTGGGCAAGGTCACATGAGGCCAGACTCAGCGAGGGGGTCCTGACACTCACGCCAGACCCTGTCCGTGCCCTCTAACGGGCAGGGGCTGTGTGGCCGCCGCTGCAGCAGGAAGTGACACTAGGGTCTCGCCAAGCCCAGGAGAGTGTGCTTCCCGCCGCCAGGCACTCCGGACAGTCTGTGTAGAGGGCCATGCTCTGCACGCTGCTGGCCTCTCTGGCTCGGGTGGCTGTGTCATCAAGGGTCCCCTTCTCGCAGGACCTGAGCAGCCATGGGAGGTCCTCAGTCCTGTCCCAGGGCGCCTGCCCGCACGTGGCTGCGCAGACTAAGGGCCAGCAGAGGACAGGGCAGGATGGGTGCACTTCCTCACGCTGTGTGTCCCCAACGGGCCACAGGTGGATCCGGGTTCTGCCAGCCGGGAAAGAGGCTGGAACAGGCGGCCTCTGGGGAGCTTGTTTTGCTGCCTGAGCTGTGGTCAGAACACACCTCCCGAGCCCACCCTGCCCAGTTGGGGCAGAGAGGGCTGGGCAGCGCTGCCCTCCGTGACTTGAGCAGGCATGCTACCCCGGAGGGGTGGTTTCCACACCGAGTTCTTTTCTTTCTTGTCCAGGGAAGTGGTTGACGCCCTTTGACCCAGTCTTCACCAAGGCAGACACTTTCCACCTGAACAAGTACAAGACGGTTAAGGTGCCCATGATGTACAGCGCAGGCAACTTCGCCTCCACCTTTGACGAGAGACTCCGTTGCCACGTCCTCAAGCTGCCCTACCGAGGGAACGCCAGCATGCTGGTGGTGCTCATGGAGAAGATGAGCGACCACCTGGCCCTGGAGGACTACCTGAGCACAGACCTGGTGGACACGTGGCTGAGGAACATGAGGACCAGGTACGCCAGGCCCCTGCCCAAGACCAGCTCAGTCTCTGCGATCCTCACCACCATTCCGGGGCTCAGTGTCCGTCTCCCCCGTGGCCGATGGGCTCCCTGGGAGCAGGGGCTGCTTTGCCCTGCTTCCCTCCGTCCTGGCATCTCTCACGGCGCCTGGCTCATTCATCCCCTTGGCCAGGCACTGCCACACATGCACAATGGAGCCCTCGTGGAGCTCACATCCCAGTGCAGGGAGGTGAGGGAGTCGCAGTGCAGGGAGCGAGGGGGCACCAGGGTGCAGGCGCCCCCAGGAAGGCCTGGAGAAGGTGGTGGCGGAAGTGAAGCAGGACCCTGTGGGTGTCTTGGGGGAGGGAAGTGCTACAGGCAGAGACAGTCTGGGATGGGAGAGTGCCTGGTGGGTTTGAGGAACAGCAAGGCAGCAGGGAGGAGAGGAGGTCTGATAACCAGGGCCCAGGCCCCAGAAAAGATGGGCTTTTCCTGAGGGACATGGGGAGCCCCAGGGGATCTGAGCAGAGGAGCACCAGGGTCTGACTCACAGCGTGTGGAGTAAAGACACTGCCAGGAGCTCGCTGAAACCAGCCCATCAGGATGCTGCCCTGGGCTGTGGGCTGAGTGCGGCAACGCTCTGAGTGACCAGGAAACTGGTACTGCAGTTTGGGGCTACACCTCATAAATTAAGAAATTGAGACTTCTTTAAAAAGATGAATCTAGTGTCAGTTATTTGTGTTCATGCTTCTTATTTTTGAGCCACAGAACTCATCTTTTTAAACACAAATTTCAGAGAAATCCAGTGCATATAAAACAGAATATCGGCATGTCTGCCTGGGGAGGGGGGACCCCCTTCACTCCCTCCTGCTGTCCATCCCAACTCCTAAGACTCTGGAACGCCGCGGGGCTGCAGAATCTAGACTGTGGCAGCAGCGCCAGCCTGGGGCCTGCAGGATTGCTGCAAGCAAAGAACTGCTGCAAGGAGTTCCTTGCTTTGGGCTGTTTTAAGACATAGGGAAAGGGATGCAAAATGCAGTATCCTTTGCTGATGAGACCGTGAGTCACTGCCTGGGAGATAAAACCCGTTCGGTGAAGCTGAAGTTACATAGCTAATAAGCCAGAGCGGTTTCCCATGAGCCAGAGCATCACAAAAGAATGGCATGAACTGTGTCCAGTGAGCGACTCATTAATGGGAACGACCTTGGAGAGAGCGATCTTTGTAGCCTGCAGCCTACGGCTCTGTCTCCATTTCCCCGTTACATCTGCTTGTACCACAGACACATGGAAGTTTTCTTCCCGAAGTTCAAGTTGGATCAGAAGTATGAGATGCATGAGCTGCTTAAGCAGATGAGAGTCACGAGAATCTTCTCACCCTGGGCCAGCCTGGGCGAGCTGTCGGCCATGGCGAGAAACCTGAAAGTGTCTCAGGTAAGCCAGTCTCTCGTGCGGACCCCAACCCCGAGGATGAAGTCGGGCCCAAACCAACACGTTTTTGCAGATGACTTTAATGTTGATAAAATTCCAAGTTGTAGGAGAAGCTTAGATTTAAATCCCGAGGGCTTGACTAGCACCTGAGTTGGACGTTTTAAAAACTTTGAGCTACTTTATTAAAACATTAATTTCTCTTATGGAGTGCTCTCCCCCTCCTCTCACAAGCACTCAAGAAGTGTACCCCTGACAAGGAACTCATTCATGGGTTCATTTAAAATGTCATGAAGTCACACCACTCTCAAGATGAAAGAAACCCCCAGATGCTGCCTGCCCAACTTCCACCCTTGTTGGAGCCCCCTCTATAATATCCCTACACTTTATCCTCCAGTTTTTCTGCCTTCTTCCCTTCCTTCTTCCCTCCCTTTCTTCTCCTCCCTCCCTCCCTTCTTTGTAATGCTTCCAGTGACAGGGAAGCAACACTTTGAAAAGCAACTCAATCCACAAATGGCCAAAACTGTAATTGTTTTGTTTTC